TTGATATCACTGTGCCAAACATTCTTGGATCCCTTTGCTGCTACCACGCGCTTGTGTTCTCGTTTCGTTTGAATAGCCGTCTCGTCCACGTTAAATACACGTGCAGCACCCATGTTATGCTCAAAGATCGCCTTGGCTAGCGACGAAAATAGTTGTGACAGGTCGCTTTCTTCAACTTCATTGCGCACTTTGGTCACAGATTGCGACGTTCTTAGTGAAAGTGAAGGGTTACGCTGCATGAAGCGCCGCAACCACCCCTCACCTACACTCACACCACACATGAGCTCGGCAATCTGCTGTTCCATGTGCAAGACGTCTTGCCCTCCGACAGGATGGCCGGTCACCTGTCACTGGAGAATCCAGTCTCTAATGTCGTTTTCAGCGGTCCTCGAAAGCATTGGAGGCGGCTCACGACGCTTGAGCTCATGAGGCTGGTTTTTGCGTGCAGCAGCTACGTATTTTTCTTCAGCGTGCTATGCCCGATCTTCATTTGTTTACTTGTTGCCTTTAACTCTGCGCCAGCGAGAACGGCTTGGACAGCGCAATGGAGCTCTGTTTCGCTGTACTTGGCGCGTATTTTCCCAATGGTGGAGAAGCGTGTGTGTGTGTAGCCACTGACCACTGGCCAGAGTATAAACTGCTGGAGGAGATCAGGGGAGAGTTTGCTAGCTCAATATCAACCAATTATGATCGTTGGCAGCGGTGTAGCTTAATATAACAGGTTAAAAAAGGCCGAGGCTACTAAACTGGTCCAGGCTACGAAACTGACACTTTGCCTTAAAGTTCCAAGTCAGACTATCACACCAGGACTGGTTACCGAGTCGGCGTCTACTTAATAAGCCTGCCTATTTCCACCCTCACCACGCTATCCTCTTTCCTACTACTCCGTCCCGAAAAAGTTACACGGATCGGCTTCACACCATTTTATACTTGATTTCACTATGCTAGCAAATCCCTACGATAGAGACAGGACCTCAGCTACTCTACTTGAACATCGGACGCTTAAAGGAAGTCTTCCCTCCTTCTACAGGTGAGTTTTCCCCAAGTGAACGGCTTTAAAGTCGTTTCCACCTTTCTCCTCTATGCATCTATCCATCGTCGTTTGCAAGCTTAGGAAGACGGCATTTATAGTGGACGGTGGCAGCTTCCAGTATACAGCTTCAACAACTGCAATGAGCTCGTCAACGGTTCGCGTTTGCTGCTGTTCCTAACAACGCGCGTGCGGTCTTCATCGCTTAATTCCTTGGTCTTGGAGGCAGGCATTCAGGGCAATATGGCAGGGGTGGGCGAAATCTTGAATGCGCATTTCTCACACACGCAGATTTTCCTCCTCACCGGCACAATTTTGACTGGTTCAGGGCAATTTTGGAGGACATGACGATCTGCGCACACCAATAAAAAGCACAACATGCGCTCTATTTATTTCTACCAATTGCATGCGTTGTTGCTCTTTTTTAGCGAATAGAACCCAGGAAAAGCGCTTTCGTGCAGCATTTTCGGGACGGAGTGGTGTACAATAATTTTTTATCATGAAATGATAGTTGTGCAGAAATGACAATAATCTTGTGAGCTTCTTAAGCAAAAGTTCACAAACTTATTGTCATTTCTGCCATTTTCAATTTGACGTGCACTACATAAAAGACCATCACTCATGCCCACCCGTTTTGCCATTCAACAACCGTCGACGTAACGACACTTGTCTGACTGGTTATCCCGACATTGCAACATCGGACTTGGCTCCAACATCCTGCTGCTGTAGTGCGTTTATCCCATGGCATTCGAGCCGCGCAGCCCTACCTTCGTAAAATATGGCGGCGAACAGCAGCCGCTGTTGGACTACAACAAAGACACAGTCGTGGGGATCCCCGGCAGTCTCGAAACTCAAGACGAAGCCGAGCCTCACGTCATCGAAGAGCTCAAGACACTACTCAAACTAGTGTACCCCGTCGTACGTATCGAGAGTGAATGTCACCAATGTCAATGGGATTTTTATTAACGGATACTTTGGTGATAACCCGCAGGTTGTGACGACTGCGCTCGAGTTTTTACCTGGTTTTACGTGTATTATACTGGCAGGACACATCCAGTCGCCACACACGCAGCAATATGTGGACGCCGCTACACTCTCAACAATGGTAAGCGCCACATTTGCTATTATAACTGTAACAGAGAGCGTAACTAACAGGTTATGTCAACTATCGCAGTTCATGAACATCACGGCGTATTCCATTGGGTTTGGCCTTACATCGGCGCTAGACACGCTGTGTTCTCAAGCGTACGGTGCTAAACGTTTCGGAAAGATCGGTATCTACTACCAAGCTGGCTTACAGATTATCGGTGCCTGTCTCGGACCAATTTTCCTCGTTAACTGGTACTCCGAGAGCTTTTTGCTCTTCATGGGCCAAGACGCTGAAGTCTCCAGACTAGCACAGAGTTTCTCACGTTGGATGCTACCCGGCGTACCGTTCGTTTTCCTCTACGAATTAGTGCGCAAGGTGTTGCAAGCGCAAAACATCATGAAGCCGTTGGTGTTTATTGCGGCAGTAGGCAACGTTGTCAACATCGTATCGGGCTACTGGCTGACATATCATACGTCGATGGGTTTTGAGGGTATCGCTCTGTCCAGATCATTGGGCAACATGGTGCTACCGTTCCTACTCATCCCGTACTTCTACTACCACCCTCACCACTTGAGCCAATGGTGGCGTGGCTGGAACATGCGAGTGGCATTCGAACACGTGGGATTGTTCTTGCGTCTAGGAATACCTGGCGCGCTGATGATGACGATGGAATGGTGGGCGTTTGAGCTGCTTACGCTGATGGCTGGCGTTCTACCAAGTGCTGTCGTGTCGGTCAGTGCCCATGCTGTGCTTGTTAACGTTAACAACACTATCTACATGACATTTGCGGGTCTCGCAGTCGCCTCTAACATCCGTGTGGGCAACTGTCTTGGCGCCAATGCACCGAAACAGGCGAGACTGGCTTGTACTGTATCGTTAACGTTAACATTAGCCATATCCTCGACATTTGCGATGATGTTGTACGTGCTGCGTGGCGAGATCCCACGTCTCTTCCTTAATGATGCTCAAGGTATCGCGCGAGCTGCTAGTGTGTTGGCAGTCTGGGCTCCGTTGGAGGTTCTAGATGGACTTAATGCTGTCGTTCAAGGTATTTTCCGTGGTGCAGGCAAACAGAAAGTGGCTGCTACAGTGAATGCAGTGGCGTACTATGTGTTCGGTATCCCAGTTGCTGGAGTACTGGCCTTCCACTTTGCTTTGGGAGTCGAGGGCTTGTGGTTGGGTTTCGGCTTCGGTATCTTCGTGGCTGCCTCGCTGCAGTTCTACATGTTGTTCGAACGCTGGACGTGGATAGAACTCGCTGAAGAAGCCCAGAAGCGCACGGCGGAATAGAATCTTACTACTCTAGTATTAATACAACTACTACTAGTAGTACAAAACTAGAGGTCTCCTTACATTACCGGTAAGTCTCCATTGCATGAGTACCATGCTGAATTCTTAAAACTTTGGCTTATTTATTTTTTTAATTTTTAAGCCATTAGCCCATCCATTTTTTTTTATTGAAGTGTTGTTCTGATTCTTTCGGCGTTTGCGATTGCTGTGATGGTGACTTGGCTGCTTCCCACCAGCCATTATGATTTTTAGTCACGACATCTGATTATGGACTCTCTGACTGCGTAGGGTGGACGGACGCAAGCAATCAGTTGGGCTTTTACGGCGGACGCAAACAATCAGTTGGGCTTTTGGTGGTCGGGAAGAAATGGTGGCGCCGAACGAGACGCGGCCGCTGCTGCTCCAGCAGGACGACACCTTCGTGGCCGTCGCCGAGTGCCACGAACTGAAGCCCAGTGAGCCGGAACCTAATGCGACGGAGGAACTGCAGACGCTGCTGGCTCTTGTCTATCCCGTCGTAAGAAAAAAAAAAAATGGAATGTGTCGTATATGTAACAGCATCGTCATTAACATATCGCGATTAATTAACAGGTAGGCACGACGGCGCTCGAGTTCCTGCCAGGACTCACGTGTATTGTTCTAGCGGGACACATGGACTCGCCGTACACACAGCAATACGTAGACGCCGCCACACTCTCGACCATGGTAATTTTTTTTAATAATAATATTGAGAAGTGGTATGGTATTAACTGACTTGTTCTTTAAACTGCTACAGTTATTGAACCTGACGAACTATTCGATATGTTTCGGCCTCTCGTCGGCGTTGGACACCTTGTGTTCTCAAGCGTATGGGGCCAAGCGATATGAAAAAATTGGCGTCTACTTCCAAGCGGGTTTGCTAGTACTAGCAGCCGTCTTCGGGCCTATTTTCCTGTTGAATTGGTACACAGAGAGCGTCATGGTTTTCTTGGGGCAGGACGAGGAGATCTCCAAACTCGCGCAGACTTTCTCGAGGTGGATGTTGCTGGGAATGCCGTTCATTGTATTATACGAACTTGTACGTAAGGTTCTGCAAGCGCAGAATATCATGAAGCCATTAGTCATCATCGCGACGATCGGCAACGTGGTGAACATCGTAACTGGTTACGTGTTAACGTACCACACACCAATGGGCTTTGAGGGCATCGCGTTGTCAAGATCTCTTGGAAATATTACGCTGCCAGTACTACTGATTCCGTATTTTTACTACCACCCAGATCACTTAAATCAGTGGTGGAGTGGTTGGGATATCAAGGAAGCAGTAGCGCATGTGGGCCTCTTCTTGCGACTAGGAGTGCCTGGCTGCCTCATGATGACGATGGAATGGTTTGCGTTTGAGTTGCTGACTTTATTGGCTGGAGTACTACCTAACGCCGTGGTATCAATGAGTGCTCACTCAGTACTGGTCAACATTAACAGCATTATCTACATGATATTTGCTGGTCTAGCAGTCGCAGTGAACATCCGCGTGGGCAATTGTCTCGGTGCTAATTTACCCAAGCTGGCCAAGGCTTCGTGCACTGTGGCGCTGACTCTCACACTAGCGATATCATTATCGTTTATTGCGTTTTTGTACGCAACACGCTGGACTCTTCCAAGTCTTCTTCTCAACGATCAAGAGAGTATTGTGCGAGCCGCGAATGCATTGGCAGTGTGGGCTCCGTTTGAGATCCTTGACGGCCAAAATACCGTACTGCAAGGTGTGTTTCGAGGTGCCGGGAAGCAAACCGTTGGTGCTACTATTAATGCAGTGGCGTACTATATTTTCGGTACTCCACTTGCTGCGCTGCTGGGCTTTTACTGGGGATTCGGCGTCGAGGGTCTCTGGGTGGGTTTTGGACTGGGCATCCTTGTGTCGGCTTCATGTCTGTATTTCCTGTTATTCGAGCACTGGACGTGGGAGGAACTCGCAGATGACGCACAGAAACGTACGGCAGCCTGAGAATCGAGTGGGTCATGGCTATTAGACCTAGAGTGACAAACTCACTGTTGCTTAGTATGCGTAATAATGACAGTTTATCGCGCAGATCCGGATGACTTGCTGTCTAGAGCGAATGTTTATTAATGAGAGATGAGTAGAGAGACTTTCGTCGCTATCTAAGCTGCCTCCTACAAACTCCTTCGAGACTCTTTACACCAACCATCGCTACATCTACGCCGTAATCGTGATGCATAATAATCAGCCGCATGATCCAGTGACTTCGCAAACTCGTCCGCGTAAACCGTCACCGTCGTCAGTGAGCTCTGCCGACACGATCGAGCTAATACCGTCAACTTCAGTTACGCAATTGCGCTGCTCAATTTGCAACACCGACCCACGTCCAAGCAATTTTTTCTAAGGTTAAAAAACCGAGGCTGAGTTAAATATGACAAACTTACTTTTTGGATCATAACCTTTCTTTGAATATGATTTGTAAGTCATCATCACTCAAAAAACGTTTTAGCACTAGGAGTTGATAGGGGATGTTTCATCGGATCACTTCCAGTCATACAACGCACTGGCCAAAAGCTTCTTCCTAGAATCAACCATTTTGTTCACTACTCGTAGATTTTTGTAACCTGAGATCATCTTCTTACTTAGTGCGCAGCTTGCTCGTTTCGTTGCCGACGTTACGCGAAATTAAGCTATCACATATCATCGTTGGACACGAATTCTGCAGGTTCGTCGAAAGCCTACTTGAAGCAATCGAGACCTTTGACGCTAAATAAAGAATAATATTTTTCACGTATAAAGCTGCTGACATTTCTTTGCTACTCTATCCAGCTATAAGCTGTTATACAGTAGATTTATTGCGGTAATGCAACGAAGATTAACGGATCCTTACCTTAACTTACGGCATTATACCTTATTCTCTTGATCAAACTAGTTAAATCCGACAACATGTCTAGTTTAAACCGTTTACTGGAGACAGGGATCGCGAGTCTTCTTTTACTCATTCTTAGTTTAATGAAAAAGAAGATTGCAAATGAAGCCCGATTTTCTTCTTTTTAATCTTATAATAGAAGCATATTGGAATTTTTTTTTACTTTGTTTACTATCACACACATTGCACGTTCCGAATAGGATGTGGGACAACGTTTAAACTGAGACGCTATCGTTCTCGCATTAACCAACTCTCTCTAACGGCACTCGAACGCATTAGTGCTATTGAAGATGGTAGTATAGTGGAGGCATCTATTTTCTCGAATGATCCGAGTGTGGTGCTAAAAACACTGAGCTGAATGAGGCTTGTTAGAAAGAAGATAGAGGGGCGACTAGTGAGCATACTATTGCGTTTGGTGGCTTTCAACACGACTATCGGGCAGGTTCGACATTGCCATTTGCAATGCTGTTGAAATAATTCTTCTTTTATCTTGTTAAAAGACAAAGAAGATTACATTTTTTTTGTTGGTTTTCTTTGCCACCTCTGACTGGAGAGTGTAGAGTAAGACACATGCCTCTAATACAGCACACTATTTAGAGATAAAGGTTAGCTGGTAAGCTTTTACATGTTCCTATGTAGCCTTCGTTATATCTACCATCGTGTGTTTTGAAAATCTTCGCAATAGCACTCATCGAATGCAAACAGAACAAAAAACGTGGGATATGCAGTCTCGAGGACGGACAACAAATAACGTCATTGAGGCAGAAGAGGTCGGCGCTATCGTTCCTCATATAGGCAGGGTGTTCGATGGCTCAATGTTCGAGGCTGAATAAACTCCCGCCTCTCAAAGCACATTCTAGTAGTTGCTCAGCCATCTTGGACACGCACGGGTCACTTCCAGCATCACGATACAGATAAAGCCCACTCGAGATCCCGCAGCGTGCAAGACAACAGAATAGAGGTATCCATCGTTTTGAACCTGATGCAATACAAACTGGCAAACCGTGACAAGTAATTGAAATTACTTGTCACGGTTCGCCCAATTCCTTCCCTTTCCTCTTTTCTCCAACTCTCTTATCTCGATCATCTTTGTGGAATTTACTCTTGCGTTTATGCTTCGCACTTTGACAACCAGGTTTACTGGATATTAACCCTTTCAAGACGTGCAAGAGCCAAATCAACGTGCGTACCTAGTACTAGTATCTCAAGATTTAGCTCTCTTCCCTGAAAAGGCATATGGTAGAAAAGAATCCGGATTCTACCAATGGTAGACTACCATTATTGTGCCTTTCTACCAAAACGCCCTCCGATTTATGGTCCTACGTAAGGCCTTTGCCCCTACGTAAGGCCCCGTAAAACCTACCCTGGGGGGCGAGTAAAAGGCTGGTCTGTAACATAAAACGGCAGAGATATCACTCATGATAGTAGCATTACGCTACTATTAACGTTAAAGCACCGTATTTAGACTTCCATGCTTAATACTGAAGAAATACCCACACAGTTCTCTACCTCTGCTTCCATAGCATCTCTTGCTGTAGTTGCCTTCGATGCAGAGTGATTCGAAGTTAGCTAGACGTCGCGTTATGAATATCGACTGTGGTTTTAAAGCTAGTTCTAATTATTTGTGCACCCTCCCATGTCGTCCTCCAGCGGAGGGCGTACGTAGGAGAAAATGGCCACGAATTTATGGCCATTCGGACCTTATTTCTAAATCGGCCCTCTTACATAAGATCGGAGCTCTTACGTAGGACTTGAAGCTACAGATGCCAACGATTTAAATCATTACAACCACCACAGCAAATCCTAGATGGAACCCTATCCTCCGCTTCTTAGGACCTACGTTTTGAGGTCCGATTGGCCAAAGTTTGAGAAAGGATACATCAAACTGTAAATGGTGTCAATATATAAGTTGCTAACGCCTCCCCTCCCTTCACTATGGGGTACTGTCAATCACCTGTTTACAGGGCTGTCACGCTCCTTGGGGCTGTTCACTGGCTGAGCGTGTGTCAGCCAATCAAAGTGGTAAGATTCTTATAGGCTGCTCAGTGGACACCACTTTATTAGTGGGCGGTGTGAGTAGAGGATGCAGCCCACAAGCCAGTTCGATCTTCCCTCCGCTCGGCTTGTTTGCATTATACATTTGCTGTTTTGTAGTTTTTTTTTCTGTTAGGACACTCACCTCCAGATTCAAATATCTCGTTATATCAGATCGTATAGATGTAATCTTTTTGTGACCAATTGATACATTATCTCAAAATCCCTCTAAAACCGCTTCAGTTTACGAACCTTCGCACTGGATGTCTTTCGCCTTTAATTGATTACGAACATAATTCAAATCTTAACGTTGTGTATGATTTTGCTGGGTTTGAAGACCGCTGGCCCTCCAGCCTCATTGCAAAATTCTTCGAGAACTCGAACTCCACGACCGCCCGCCAAGTCAATCTCGACAATGCGTCGTTATTCGATCGCATTGCTAGTAACTGGTGTTCTCTTTGCATTTGCTCACAGTGCGTCGGCGACTACTACGTCAAAGATAACAGCGGAGAAATTACCACGTGACTCTCGATTCTTTGTCATACATCACGATGATATGCCCACTCGGAGATTGCTACGAATTGACGGAGCAGCGACCGACAACAACGAAGAAAGAGGCTACCCTGGTGGTCTGATCCATGCCGGGACGTCGAAAGTCGATGACCTTCTCGCGTCCGCAAAGCTGAAGGAATATGAGGCGCTGGTGAACAAGTTACAGCTCGGTGATGACATCGTCACCTCTCTAAGAAGCTCGCAACTGGAGAACTTGAAGCAGTTTGTTGTGGTGGAGTGGGATTCGCAAAATCGCGTTGCGATCCACTCAGACACACAGTGCCCTGGACTGCCGACTGACGGAGGGGGTACTCCGATAACC